GTCACCTGTCCCTGCCCTCCCTTTAATCCTGACCCATAAGCTCTCAGTCAGCTCCTCACCCAGTCCCAGGCAGAGCTCCATGCACCCCAGCTGGTCACTGACATAGAGGGCGACACCCCCTCATCGTCTCCCCTGCCTGTCCTTCCTAAAGAGCCTGTATCCTACCATTCCAACACTCCAGTCATAAAAGCCATCCCACCACGTCTCTGTGATGCCAATAAGATCATGGCCCTGCAGGCGTGCACACATCTCTAACTCTTCTTGTTTGTTCCCCATGCTTTGTGCATTTGCATAGAGGCATTTAAGTTGGGCCCCCAATTCTTTCCTCTTATTTAAAAATAGGCAAATGTTTTTTGTTTAACTCCCATCAGAGTTTTCAGGAGTACCTGTTTTACAAATCCAGCAAATGCTGGAGAGCCTTTCTCTAGGAACTGAGTCCCTGATCTCTTTTCTCTCAGATAGCTGAATGGGCAGAGGTAGCATTTGCATTTAATAGGTATGTGTCTACAGCAGGAACGTGTCTGTAACTTGCTGGACATATAAATGTTTATTTTTCCATAGGAACTTAATTTTCATCCAGAACAACTCCCTTTGCTTTCATTGCTTTTGTCAGTGACTTTTATTAAAGTGAAAATGGCAGTGCATCTGCTTAATTAGCTTCAAATATCCCAGTGATTACATATTGGAGGAAATGCCTTTGTAGGAAAGACTGTAATTAAACATTACAGTGAAAACAAATTATCCGCTGAGCACCATGCTTTCATCTTTAGCTATTTCATTTACTACATGGGCAGCTGGCTATATCCTGTGCATGAATTCCAGCTCTGCTGGTGATTTGCCATGCAGAAATACAATTTAAAAAAACAAATGCTTGGGGATTTGTTTGTAAAATGACGGTATAGACATCTTCTATCTAGTACATTACCACTCTAAGTTAAAAGGTTTTCAACATTTTGATTTTTGGAGGAATAAAATGTTAGAAGAATTTTTGTAAAAAATCAATTTGTTGGAAGCAGCTGATAAACATAATTTCTCAATACGTATTGAAGTAGCAAAAAAAGGAAAAAATTGGAATAAGTACAACTCCAAAACTGCATTTGAAATAACTAAACATAATGTCATAATTAGAATTATTAAAATGATAACTAATAATTAAGCTTAAACAGGAAGATATATAGATATCGGGTGGAATTGTTCAAGCAGCAAATGTAGCTGGTTAAAAAGGTCATCTAATATTTTAAAGATTTGCGTTATCTAAATAGAATTTATAGTTGTCTTTTTAGAAAATAATGATAAAGGCTCAGCATTTGCTGCCTCAGTAACTTTCTATTAAAATGGATTTCCCAGAAATTATCATTCAGATTGAAAACCCAGCTTTTGATTGTGTGTAACAATCAAAGTGTGAACAATTCATTCAGTGAATGTCTGATCAACAATATGAAACTGCCTAAGGAAGGCTGCATTTGTGTGAAAAAGGGCCAGTGTCCTGATTTGTCATGAAACAGGAAATGGAAGAAAGCTAGCAGCTTGATCTGGATTTGTTTGTCAGAAGATTACTACACACATCCCCTCGACACAGCAGGGGAGTTGTGAGATTGTTTACCAAAAAGCTGTTGTTATGTTTGCATGAACAAGTTCATTGTTATCGCTTGAATAATGCATCTGGACCTCTTTTCTGTGTTTTCAGAGCTGAAGACAAGGGTGGGAAGGTCTCTGAGGACAGCTTTGCCGGCTGTCGAACGCCTAAGCACTTTCATTCCAGCTCCGTCCCTATCCCCATGACAGTGGACGGCTTGGTACATTCTGTGGCTGGGTCATCCATCAGATCCCCCTCCCTGCACTCTGTGTTCAGCATGGACGATAGCAATAGCCTGCCATCACCAAGGAAACAGCCTCCTCCCAAACCAAAGAGGGACCCCAACACACGACTGAGCGCTTCGTACGAGGCCGTTAGTGCTTGCTTGTCGGCAGCTTCTAAGGAAACCGCTAATGAAGGTTAGGCATAAAGGCAGAAACAGTCGCAAATGTTACTCTAGGTTATTGATTTATTCTTTCCACTTTGATCCTTTTAAACACAGTCAAGCGCCTTTGAAAAGTCCTGCTTCCCTGAAATATTTCAATGGCTGTAAATAAAATTAGTCAATTTGTCATTTTTTTCCAAATCAGCAAATATTACTCGTGTTCTAATTACCTAGTTTGTCAACAATCAAAACCTATTTGCAGAACTCCCTCTAAAGACAAATGATCTCTGTCAGCTTAAGCTATTCTACCCCACTGACCATTTTATTTCACCTTTTAAACTGTATGTTAGAATACCTTGCGTCACTAAAACAGAATGCTGGAATCTTGAATTTCGCCAAGTCAAACATTAAACTTTCTCCTACTTTTTCTCTATGTTCACATGAATTACTTATGCATTCAGTGGTTTATGTTCGTGCCATAACTTGCTTACAGTGAATTTTTTGTTTAGAAGGAAAGTGCTATGAAAGTCCCAAAGTGTCTCAATGCATTATAGTGCATATAGAACAATTTTGAGTTCAGTTGTTCTATTCTCCTTCACCCTTGAAAGGAATGAGTAGAAGATGAAGGGGAGGAATGCATTCTGCTTTTCCTTGATAAGCCTGGCTTGTCATGCTTTGTGTAAAGGATCCTCTAGGCTTATGAGGGAAGATCCTTCAGGTTGGGTTTAAAGCTATGTATAACCATTCTCTAATCCTGCATACAATGGATGGAAACCTTTGCAGCTCCCTCTTGCAAAATAATTACTGTTCTCGTGTCCAGTTCATTAGTTGCAAGGCCATTTTTCTTAACCTCTTCCTTCCTCGTTCAAGCTCTGTGTGAGGAGAGATGAACTGTGTCCAATATACTTTTAAACTAGCATGACTTAAGGAGCTCTGTAGTGGTTTCGGCTTTCTGTGCCCAGCTCTGCAAGAGATGATTGATTTAACCAAAGAGCTCTAGCAGAGGTTTTCGAGAGAATGACAATTTATATATACATGTATGCTCTTAACACTAATGCTTATATACACTCACAAAACAACTTTGGAATTCTTCTCATATGTATGAAACAATAGGGCCAGTTTCCCTGCTGTATACTCATTTTCCAAGAATTATGCCAGTTTCCTGAGTCTTTGCCCAAAACCAGCTCTGATTTGCACCATCTAATTTTGATCTTAAAAGACCAATCACCTAGGTATCTAGTCTCTCCACTCCATACGTGCCTGGAGGCTGTGAAAAGACATCTAGCTTAGTTAACTGTATACTCAGTTGAGGAATTGCCCTTAGGCTATGGGATTCCCTAACTTTATAAATTATTTCCACACTCTCAGTACAAAAGAAGAAGAGATAGGCATAATATCTGCCTATAATTAGAGTTTTATAGATATTACATAAAAGGGGGATACTTCAGTTACCGGCAATAACATGGTGTCAAAGTAGCACCATGCTGAAACTCCTAGTTAAAAGCATGCCCCTCTCCCTTGGGGCAAAAGGAATAACAAGCATATATTTCCATGTGTTACAGACCTTGCAGTGAACATTTGGATTCAGAAGGTATCTCCTCAGGCATTTGCATCTTTTAGTGGCAGTAGAGATTACCAAAGCAGATTATATGCCCAAGTAGCAAAAGCTTGTGGTTTAGAAACTGAAAGTTCTGCATTTCATTCCTTGAAATATTTATACTTTTGACTGAATCCATGTGTTTGTGACTGCTGCTCATTGTAAAACTATATAGGCAACATTTGAAGGCTTAAAGTACTAGACCTGTGAAAGAAAAACTGACTTTGATCTGTTAATAACACAAACCTTTTTCACTTTCCTAGTACTGACCCGTCCAAGGCCACACAGTGATGACTATAGTACCATGAAAAAAATACCTCCCAGAAAACCAAAACGAAGTCCCAATACGAAACTTAGTGGCTCTTATGAAGAAATACCTGGCCAAAAACCTGGGGATGTAAAACAGACAAGCACAGTAGCTAAAACAGGTGGCTATGACACCGTGACAGTACAGAGAGCAGCTTCTGCTGATGGGCCACAACGTGGCATGTTGAGTCTCTATATGTCACAAGAAGAGGAGGAAAATGAGCCTGTCTATATTGAAATGGTAGGGAATGCAATGAAAAGCAGTTCTGCTGAAGCAGAAAGCCCAGAACAAGGAGAGTCTGTATATGAAGAAATGAAGTATTTTCTACCAGAAGAAGGAAGCAATGGTAACGGAATAATTCCAGTAGTGACTGGATCTTCTCCTTTGTTGTTTGAAAGCAAAAAAAATGTTAACATTGAAGATGGAACATTGGATGGAAACAATCAAGCGGCTTTGATCTATAAAGACTCATGTGACATTCCAGCCCCTTTCCCTAACTTGCTGCCCCACAGGCCACCACTTCTTGTATTTCCTCCAACCCCTGTCACATGTTCACCTGCTTCTGATGAATCACCTCTAACACCATTAGAAGTCAAAAAGCTTCCTGTCTTGGAAACCAACCTAAAATACCCTGTGCAGTCAGAAAGCTCAAGTCCGTTATCACCACAGTACTCCAAAAGTCAGAAAGGGGAGCATGAAAGACCAGCATCTCCAGGCTTGGTTGTGTTCAATGTTTCCAGCAAAGTGACTCCTCCTTCCACACCACCTCCTCCTCTCCCACCACCCCCTCCTCCTGTACCACCTCCTATTTCCTACCGGGCTTCCACACATTTTGCGTTTCCTCCAGAGACTTGTGCTAGTTTTCTGAGTAATACAGGGAAAACAGGTGCAAACTCAGATCTGTCAAAAGTACCTCAGAGACCAAATCCTGCTCAGCTTGGATGCTCCTCTTCTCCATTCTCCAAACTGCCTTACTCCCCAAAGGTGGCAAGAGCAGATCACAGGAAATTGAACTCAAATTCATCATCTTCATTTCCATACAGCCCTACAAACTCAAGGTCATTGACCAGTCCCCTTGATGAGTTAACTAGCTTGTTCAACTCAGGACGGAGTGTGCTACGAAAATCTGCAGCAGGACGTAAGATCAGGGAGCCAGAAGGTAAGACAGATCTCTGTGCTTCTGTATACTGTATTTCTTCTGCACCAAAACTTTCTTATATTGGAAGCTGATAGAGTAGGTAAAAATACAAAACAAAATCATCGTTTGTTTTTTTTTAAAGAAAGATCTGTTGTAGTCATAAGAAACACATACAGAAAATAGAGTGCATATAAAAATTATAGGTCTTCAGGTTTTCTCTGAGATGTCAACTTTTCTTTTACCAAAATGTTTGTATGACACAAATTCAAATGGATTATTTTTAACATTCCAGTCAGTCTCAGTAAAATAAACACATATGAAAATGAATTTATGGTATCAATCTATAAAAAAACTTTGAATGAAATATATGGCTAGGTGTCTGGTAGATAGCATGTACTTTAATTTGAAGACTTTCTTTTAAGGTTTCATTATTTCATTTCCATGAAATTCTGAATTTGGTGATACTGCCATTATTATTCTCCTAAATAAAGTTGAGACAGAGAGTCGTGCAGCAAACTGTTTATTTCCCTTTTCTATGCTTTTATTCTTACCTTTCCTGTCATTTACATACACTTGTGTACATACCCAGAGATTACTTGGTATCCTGGCTTTCTGGCATCCGGAGAACATCTCTTATATCTAGTGGAAAAGGCAACTGTAAAAAGAAGCAAAACTTGCCATTTTGCTAAAGGTTTTTGGCACCACAGTCCTCAGACATTGTCACTTAATTATTTGCTTTGTCCAGGTAATAAGGGGTTTAATGTTGTTACCGAAATAAATCTGTGGATCTTATGAATACTGAAGATTCATCCTGATGTTAACAAACAGATTCAATTAGCTGTTCTGTAAGAGTGAGATGCTTCTGACCTAGCTTTGTCCATCTAAAAGCTCGATATGTGGGCATCAAATCCTTAGGCTATGAAGAGACAGTCCTTTTGAGAGTTTAATTCCTCCCATATATCTTTCTCCACTGGGTATGAGGAAAGCCTAGATGATTAAACTAGTAGAGTTGTAACTCCTAAGTGATTAAAGTTGAAGTAAATCCTGGTTCTGCATATCAATTACAACGCTGACTCCAGTCTTCAAATTACTTTTCTGATTTAAAAAAAAAGTCTCCTATCGAAAATAGTCAGTGCACTGTATACAGAAACTTCTCTCCCTAGTAGCATCTCCCAAACACAAAATTTTAGGAATTTAAAATTCAGAGTGACAAAACCTCTATACTGTTTTCTCTGCTTCTTCATTTCTGTCTGTCCAAACAGCTTGTGTTAATCAAGAGCTGTGTGCAGCATATTCAAAATGGCCAATATGAAGTCCCATTTCTGGAATATAAAACAAAACAGTAGAGAATGGGATAGATTATCTTTTTATTCATTGTCCATTTTCTTAAATATATACGGTTCCATTAATTTCAGTATCATATCCTTATTTAAGCAGTTATAATAGAACAGAAGCAGGTGTTTGTGCTTAGTCTAGATATGTGTATGTCTGTCTGTGTGCCACCCTATCTCTCTGCCCCTATGAACCCTGGCAGCCTTCAGCCAAAACTCCTTTCAACCGAATACAACAAGGAGATAAAGGTCTCAAAACTAATGCAGTTTCTACAGGTTTCATGAAAGTTAGTTGCTAGGTGGAGATGAGAAACTTATACTGGGAGAAAGGCTCCTACCAGCTATCAGAGAAAGCGTTGTGGACAGAATGCGTGTGAGTCCTCCAGACCTTGAAAAAGCTTTAGCTAGACCTTGCATGTTCCTAGATGCTGAATTCAATCAGCCATGAGCTATGAACTGAGACTTCATCAGTTCTCAACCTCAAGAGAGTGCCTTGTTTGTTATTCTGAGTATATGAAGTAATGAAATTTGTAAAGGAGATGTTGCAGTAGTTTTGCTTGCTTTGGCAAAATTACTTGATAACATTCAATGCCTATAAATGTATGTAGAATGTTTGTTTGGTTTGGTTTGGGTTTTTTTTTAAGTTGGGGGCCTTGTTTTATTATATAGATAATAATACATTTTTATCTGCTGGGAAGTAACTATTGAAGTCAGCTCCTTGGATGTGTCTTCTCAAGGCTCTCTCAATGTACCTGGTGAGGAAGTGTGGTAAACCTACTCCAACCAAGTCACAAAACTGACCTTCACCTTAAAAAAAAAGTTTCTTTGGGATGGAGGATTTTTGCAAACTCAATTTTCAACTAAATCTGACCAAGGCAGAGTTCAGCTTGGGTCTCCTGTGGGTTGAAGCTAGTGCATTAACAGAGGCTACCATATAAAAACTCTAAATTTACCTTTCGAATGGAAAATGTTGTACTTCTAAATATTTCATCAAGGCACTAAGTATGAAAGATCAAAGTTCAAGAAAGATATACGATAAAAAACCTGAATCAATATTTTATGAGCTAGGAAGCTACTGTATAATACTAAGTGCGGTTATGTATGAATAGTTCAATGATGAGCAGATGGACTGAAAGTAACAAAGAAATACAGGTGAATGTATGCGCGTGTTTTTACAATTTGCCTTTTTTCATGTACTTCATGTGTTCAGTTCATTTCTAGGGTAACAGTTGGAAAAAAAATATCTTTTGTTTAACCTCTGATGCAAAGTAATAAGATGGCAATCAGCAGAGTGGACTCTGTTATGTAAAACTAGAAGTCGTCCATGTCTTACCTTCTGATTTTTTATCACCTATTGCCTAATGCATATTAAGTTCCTGGAAGACTCCTTCATTTCTTCTTTTTGTCATTTGTAGTATTTCATTTATAGGAGATGATATGGTAAAAAAAATTAAATTAATTTTAATAGAAATTCATTAAAATTGAAGACATGGCCTAGAGCAGCGCTCTGCAATGTGCAATTTCCTTTATTTCCATAAGTTATAACCTACCAACAACTTTAACTAAAAACAGAAAGTAAAATTGTGGGCCATTTTGAAGTCAAAGAGAGTTAGCTATGGGAATCAAGAAGTTTCTGTATGGGATCATCAGCCTTTGAGATAAAAGCCTCCTTGCCAATAAAAGTGCAGTGCAGACAGATCCCCCAACATGCCTCCCTCTTGGCTGGAGGAGTAATTTCAAGGCCTGAGAACACTGACGTCCTTTTGGCTCCTGACCTCTCCGTGGGAAACGATCATCCAGAATTACAATAGAACAGATTTGTAGTTTTCTGATGGACTGTAGAGTTATTGCCAACCATACTAGAGCACTCTTCTTTTACACAGGCAGCAAAAAAAAAATAATCAAATGGCAACAACTTTCATTATTTGGTGGCCTAGCCTGACCATTTTTTTATACAACAGTAGCATCTACTGGTTCAGGCCATGATCAGGATCATATAGTACGCAATGTCTTGGAAAATACTTTACATGTAATAGGAGAAGATTTCTGCTCTGCAGAGCTTATAGTTTAAATAAGCAAAACTGTAACAGGTGAGAACTGAGATAAAGTGATTTCTCCAAGGTTGAAAAGAGTTGTCATTGAAGCTACAGCTGTATTGTTAGACAGGGATTTCCTTTTACACCGTATAAAATGAGACTTGAGTGCAGATGAGCAATAATACGCACACACACTTTTCTTCTATTCTCCCTGATTTCTAGAAGTAGAAACTTTAGTTTGCAAGATAAATAGAAACTGAGTGGTCATGTGCAGAGGCCCTACTCAAATATTTCTAGACAAGACCTTAGATTTGAAACTAGGCTTCATGAAACCCGATTCAATGCCTTCATCACAAAACAACACTCTATAGCAGAATGTACAAATATTTTTAACTATTCAGCATAAAAGACATTCCTTATATAAGGAAGAGACAATTACATGTTTAAGCATTTCATATCAAATATTTGTGGAGCAAGGACAGAATTTTCTTTTCCTCAACATGGGTGAATGATACTCAGATTGCTAGGTCATAGTGTTATTTCTCTTGATTGGTACAGTTGATATTAAAATATTCCATACAAAGGGGAATCATTTCAGCTTCAGAACAAAAGTGGAATAATTCCCAGCCCATCATCCATGCTCAGATTGGCAGGTTGAGTACTCATATGGATTCTAAAGGGAAAGGAGCAAAGGAAATATGTTTTTTCCCTAACCTGGATGAATTTCCTTACCATCAGGCTATCGAGATAAAGACTTAATGCCTTCTCTCCTTCTTGCTTTTTGAGAAAAGATTTGCATGGATGCTTGACTTCTGTGTCTGAGCAAAAGAAAAGCAAGCTTGCAACCCCGGATTTAGGTGCCTAAGAAATAAAATTAGGAAAACCTTTCCTTTATGTAGGTCATCAATGTATAGGCTTCCAAGTTTTGTGAATTACTGTTATTGTTTCAATATAAGTAGATCTGTATATGCAAGTCTATACATGCTTCAGTGACCTATTCCTTTCCAAAACAGTTTAGTAACTTATCTAGTAACAACAGAAAAGGCATGCAAATATTAGGTTCTTCACAAAATATTGATACTGTTCAAATGTTTGCCCAATATCTTTGGCATCCATTAACTATATGAATCCCTTCTTTATCTACTTCCTAAGTGAGGTATTTCCAAGGCAAGTAGCTTCACATATCCGTGAATTATTCCGCATTCCAGTTTAAGCACTGGAAGTCACAGGAAGATAGTTACAACTGACAAATAATACAGATATTTAGACATACCTAGTTGGGACTAAAGCTTGCCAAATACTCTTCACTGAAATTGGCTCAAACTTGGAAAATAACAGGATTTAATGTGCATGTATGGGGAGTACTGTCCTGTCAAAGGCAGGTATCCCTTTGATAGCTAGTAAATAATTTCCCTCTATCAGCAGATTAGAGTAAGCTATTGTGCAGCTAACGTCTCAACAGTGGATTGCAAATTAAATCCCCACTGGGGTTTCTGAGATGAAATCCCAGTCCCTTATCCTCTAAGCCACTCAGCTTTTCCTCTTAAGCAACTTAATAAAGATAATGTTCATATCTGCATCTCATTATTCCTACATTATATGGATACAATGGAATAGTTTTACTTTCTTTGTGGCAAAAGCTAACAACTTACAA